GTCACATGGCTATGGCCTCGATGTGTGAGACCTAGCTCTACCCTTTCCTCTCTTCTCTTTTCAGAGAGGTGATGGCTACGTGGATACAGAAAGCAAGTTTCGGAAACTGGTAGCCGCCATCAAAGCTGCCCTGGCTCAGTGCCAGTGAGACCTGGAGGCAGGGGTAAGGGGGCTACTGGGAGATGGGGTACCACCTTGGGGTGTTGTAGCCGCCCCTGTGTATGGACTCTCAGAGCGGAGAGTGAGAATGGCCACGTCCTAGAGTCCCCTCTAGCCAGGAAGGATCACACCTAAGGGGTCACAGAGTGGTACTGTGGAGGTGATGGGGGCAAGGGGCTTGCCTCAAGTGGCCTTCTTGATTCTGGAATGGAAGATGCTCAAGGAAGTCAGGTTTGTGGTTGAGGATGTGGTTTAGTTGGTGGAGTGCTTGCCTACCACGCAGGAAGCTCAGGGTTCCATCTCCAGCACTCCAAAACTGGATGGAGTGACTCACCTCTCGAATCCCAGCACTCAGGAGAGCAGGAATAAGCACCTCCTGAGTCCTTGCCTGAATAAATCAAAACAGTGGCGCTGGAGAGATGTCTCCGTGCTTAAGAGCACTGGCTGCTCTTGCAGAGGACTCGGGTTCAGCCCCCAGGGCTGATGAGGTGGTTCACAGTTACCTGTAACTGCAGTTCCAGAGAATCTAACATCCTCTTCTGGTCTCTGAGGGCACTGCACACACAGGTCGCACAGACATACATGCAGACAAACACTGCATACACATAAAACACAAAACAAAGTAAAACATAAAACAAATGAATGGGCATTGTGGGGCAGCCTGTGATCTGAACATTTTGGAAGTAGGGGCAGGAGGATCAAGAAGTCATCCTTAAGATGGATTCTTATTCAGTCCTAAGAATCCTCCTTAGCTACACAGTTAGTTTGTGCGGAGGTGGTTTGGGTTAAGAGCGCTTGTTGCTCTTGCCAAGGACCTAGGTTCGATTCCCAGCACCACGCTGTGATTTATAATAATTCCTAACTCCAGTTCCAGGGAATCTAATGTACTCTTCTGACCTCCATGGGCGCCAAGCACTCAGGTTCTTACACGCAAACACTGGCACACAAAATGAATAAGTATAACAATAACTTAACTGCTCAAGATCCCTGGTATTTTGGCCCTAGATTGCCTTTGTCCCTTTGACAGGAAACAGGTTTTTAATGCATTGATTTTATTTATTTATTTTGGTTTATTGAGACAGCTAATAGCCCTGGCTGCCCTGGCACTTGAATTGTAGATCAGGCTGATCTTGAACTCTCTCTCTCTGTAGTGTTGGGAATAAAGGTATGAACTACCATTGCATTTTTTTTTTAAAATTAGGACTTGAACAGTGCTTCATGCATGCTAGGCAAAAGCTCTACCACTGAGCCACACCCCAGCCCCTCACTGGGGGATTCTAGGCAGGGGCTCTACCACTGAGCCACACCCCAGCCCCTCACTGGGGGATTCTAGGCAGGGGCTCTACCACTGTGTCACATCCCCAGCCTCTCACTGGAGGATTCTAGGCAGGGGATCTACCAGTAAGTCACACAAAGGGGGTTCTTAGCAGGAGCTCTAACCCTGAGCTACCTTTATGTGAGACAGTTCTGTCTGGTTGGCTGGGCTGGCTTGAAACCACAGCGGAGACTCGACTTTGTTTTCTTGCCATTTGTTCTGCGTGTGCTCTAAACTCAGCCCTGACAACTGGGCAGCACTTGCTGGCCCAGTCGGAACTAAGTCCTAGTTTCTCACTCCACAACCCAGAAGATACTTCCTTCCATCCTCTCTGCCCTGGTATTAGTTCCTGTACCTTGGTCTAGAACTGGGTATCACATCCCACACCCGGTGGACTAGATGCCCACTCCCAGCATGCTTTGTACCAGGAATCTAGTTACAGTTTCAGCTCATCCACACCCAGTTTCTCATCTATAAAAGGAGCACTTGAGAGGCTGAGGCAGGAGGATTGCCACGGCTGCAGGACTGTGCCCCCACACCTGGCTTTGCTTCCCTCCTATAGTATAGTCCGTTCTCCTCTGCCTCTGAAGCTAACCTCTCTCTCTCCCCCAGTCCTGAGACCTCCTGGCAGCCGCCTTATGACAGGAAGGACTGAAATGTCTCAAAGACCTGTGGTCCTTCCTCGATGCTCCTGCGGCCACCAAGTCAGGCCAGAGATCGCCTCTGTGAGGGGGTGTGCCTCCCCAGAATCCACGTGTGCACACACCCTGCCTTGCCCTTCTGCCCCCTTCCTCACCTCTCCCTGAATTCCTCGGTGTCTTCCACCTACCCTTTTGCCTTGGTTTCCCTTCTGCAGCTCAGCTGCCAAATGTTCCCAGTTGAATAAAAGCTGGATGAGGCAACTCAAGGCAGAAGCAGTTTATTTGGGTGACAGTTCATCCTGGCAGGGAAGCCGACATAGCAGGAGCTTGAAGAGGCTGGCCACATTGATTCTGCTGTTGGGAAGCAGAGATGGGGCGGGGAATCGGCTCAGCAGGTGAAGGCCCTTCCTGCCAAGACTGATAGCTGAGTTCCTTCCTTGCGGCCCACATGGTGGGAGGAGAGAACCAGCTGCGGCTTATCCTCTGTCCTCCACTGCCTGCTTTGGCAAGTTCTCTGGAGAGTGCACGCCTGCACGAGCACACAGACAGGTAAAAATGTAACAGACAGAGTGACACTTGGCAGGCAGAGGCAGGCAGATCTCTGAGTTTGTGGTCAGCATGCTCTACAGGAGCAAGTTCCAGGACAGCTATGGCTATTACAGAAAGAAACCCTGTCTCGGAAAAATAAAAAATAAAAACAAAACAGAGCGACCCTCCTGCTCAGCTCATATAGTCGAAAGTACCGTATTCAGGAAATGGTTCACTCATAGTCAGCTGGAGAGCCATCTCTCCCTGGCTTCTCTTTCCGGAGGACCCTGGGTTCAGTTCCCAGCACCCACACTGTGACCCACAATCAGCTGTAACTCCAGTTCTAGAGGATCTGGTTGGCTTCTTCAGGCATGCACATAGTGCATATGCATGCAGGCAAAAGCACACACACACACATATATCTATATATACATATACATATATATATATACGTACATATATAATTTTTTTCTTTTTTTTTTCCCAAGACAGGGTTTCTCTGTGTAGCTTTGGAGCCTGTCCTGGAACTTGCTCTGTAGACCAGGCTGGCCTCCAACTCGCAGAGATCTACCTGTTTCCGCCTTCTAAATGCTGGGATTAAAAGCGTGTGCCACCACTGCCCAGCATTTAAAATAGATGGTAATTTCCCCCATCTCCCATTTTTTCCTCAATTTTTGTCAAGTTTGCAGACAACAGGCTGGCCTTGAACTTTCTACGTTGCAAAGGACAACCCCTTGAAGTCGAATCCTGCCTCCACCTCCTGGATGCTCAGACTTCACGGGCTTCTGCCACTGTTTCCCCCACCCCCAGTATGTCATTAATGTTGATAGCTACACGATACCTCATCAGAGAGATACCTGCTGCGTTTCGTCTACCATTCACCTGTTGTGTCTAAACACCCATGCACAGTTCTTTTGCTGTGGACCAAGGCCTTGAATTGCTGGGTCTGTAGTCCCATCCTCCCATGGCAAAGGTCACATGAGGACACTTGTAGAATTTACTTCCTTCTGAATTGAGGAACTTGGTCCTTCAGCTCAGAAAGGGCAAGGGACTGGAAAAGTTTAATTTTGTGTCCAAACACGGTCTCCTTAGTACCCAAGCAAAAAGCTACTTGTCGTGGTGTGGTCTTGTACCTCTAACCTGGAGCTGGAGAGGTGAAGATCTCTGGGGCCAACAAGTACAGCTGAATCACCCAGTCCACGTTCTGATGGTCTCAAAAAGCAAGGCAGAGAGCTGGCAAGATGGCTCAGTGTGTAAAGGTGACTGCTGCCAAGCCTGAAGACATGAACGCCATCCCAAGAGCCCATATGGTGAAGGATGAACTTTAGGCCAGCCATTCTGGACTCCTTGAGAACACACAGTGGTGGAGGCACACACCTTCATTTCCAGGAACGTGAGGCAGAGGCAGGGGGATCTCTGAGTTGGAGGCCAGCCTGGCCTACAGAGTAAGTTCCAGGACAGTCAGGGCTCTGCAGAAAAACCCTGTCTCCAAAAGCAAAAACAAAGATAGACTAAAACCTGAGCCCTCAGTGCCCACTTGTGGCCATGCCTGGGAACTGCTCCTCAGCTGTTGGCACCATGGAGCTGAGCAACCAGTCTTTCCCACCGTCTCTGAGTTGCCTGTTCCAGAAGGCCAAGCAATGGGAATCATGCAGTCTATAGTCTTTTCAGACTTCAGGCAACAGACCTGTAGTCTATCTACCCTGGTGCCTACCCTAAGTTCAAAGCTGGTATGGAGTCACAGGCTAAAACTGTCTCGACATAGTAAAATGTATTGGGGAATCTAGCCATGCAGAATACCTCCGTTGGGAAGCATTCGTCTAGATTTTTTTTTTCTTTTGGTACAGGGTTACTCTGTAGCTTTGGAGCCTGTCCTGGAACTAGCTCTTGTAGACCAGGATGGCCTTGAACTCACAGAGATCTGCACGCCCCTACCTCCCGAGTGCTGGGATTAGCCACCACCACCTGGTTTAACCATTTTTTTTTTACATTTTTATTTTTTTAAACAATTTTTAAAAAATTTTATATACTAATCTCAGTTCCTTCTCCCTCCCCTCCTCCCACACCCTCTCCCCACTCCACTCCACTCCCCATCCACTCCCAGAAAGGGTGAACCTCTCATGGGGATTCAGAGTCTGTCACATCACTGGAGGCAGGAGCAAGGCCCTCTCCCCGCATCTAGGCTGAGCAAGGTATCCCTCCACGGGGAATGGGATCCAAAAAGCCAGTTTTTACACTAGGGATAAATACTGGTTCCATTGCTGGTGGCCTCACAAACTGCCCCAGCCACATAACTATCACACTCATTGATAGGGCTTTAGTTCTAACTTTTTTTTTTAATTTAAAATTTGCTTTATGGGCTGGGTGGTGGTGGTGCATGCCTTTAATCCCAGCATTTGGGAGGCAGAGGCAAGTAGATCTCTGTGAGTTCAAGGCCAACCTGGTCTACAAGAGTTAGTTCCAGGTTGCTACGCAAAGAAACCCTGTTTTGGGGCTGGAGAGATGGCTCAGAGGTTAAGAGCATTGCCTGCTCTTCCAAAGGTCCTGAGTTCAATTCCCAGCAACCACATGGTGGCTTACAACCATCTGTAATGAGGTCCGGTGCCCTCTTCTGGCCTTCAGGCATAGACACAGACAGAATATTGTATACATAATAAATAAATAAATAAATAAATAAATAAATAAAAAAGAAAAAATGTGTTTTATGTGTATGAGTATTTTGCCTGCGTGTATATCTGTGTAACACGTACATTCTGGTGTCTGGTGAGGCCAGAAAAGGGTGTCAGATCCCCTGGGACTAGAGTTAGACAGTTCAACAAAAAACAAGCAAAAATGCCTGGCAGTGATTGTAAAAGCCTTTAATCTCAGCACTCGGGAGGCAGAGGCAGGTGGATCTCTGAGTTCCAGTCCAGCCTGTTCTACAGAGTGAGTTCCAGGACAGTTAGGGTTACACAGAGAAACCCTGTCTCAAAAACAAAACAAAACAAAACAAAACAATATGGGTGCCATCTCCCCAGCCCCTCTATCTTCAGTTTTTTGTTGTTTGTTTTTCCATGTACAAAAGGGCTGGTAAGACGGGTCTGTGCTTTCTGCAAAGCCTGGAGACTTGTGTTCCTTCCCCAGAGCCAACAGAAATGTGAAGAGAGCTGATGCCGCAAGGGAAGGAGCTGATGTCCTATGTTCTGGCTCCAGTGTGCCCTGCACCCCAACGACACACACACACAAAGACGATAAATAAAAATATCTTAAAAAGAGTACTCTGACCTCTGGGTTCTGTCCTTAGCACTGTAAACATAATGCCAAATCTAAGCAGAAAACAAAGCCAGGGGACTCTCTGGCCTTCCGACCCGGCCTGTAGGATCTCTTTATGTCTCTGAGCAGATCTCGGGGTTTGTCCGGTCATATACACACTTTATGCAAACTGTCTTGTGTCTGCTCTTTCTCTAGTAGCCTGACAGGCGTCTGCCCACACCAGACCTAATGCTGTCCTCCCCAATCTCTCCAAACCTAGGGCTTCTTCTATGTTAGGCCAGTGTTCTGCTTTGTCTAAATCCTCGATCCAGATACAGGAGATTGGATTTTGGGTTCACTGCAGTCACTTCCTGATACTCAAGTTCCGTTTCCTACTTTAGGACCACCCTTTACAGCAGTCCATTTCTCCACCTCATGTATACTAGAGTTGTCGCTTAATGTCTACCTTAGTGTGGAACAGTTGCCTGGCTTCTGCCTTTTCCAGATCGGACTTTTGGGGGTTTTAGTCTGGATTTAGAGGATTGTCGAGTTTGCTAAATGGGACCAGATAGGATCAAAGAACCAGCTGTGGGAGAGCTAGGGGACGGAATGGCCACTAGGGGGCAGCAGAGACCGTCCAGAGCCTCTTTCTGGCGGTCACTGAACAAGGGGATATATGAACTCACGAGACTGAAGCAGCAAGCACAGGGCCTGCAAGGGTCTGCAGCAGGTCCTTTGCTGGTATCATAGCTACTTAGTATTTTTATGAGACTCCTGAGTGTGAGAGCAAGCGAGTGGGTCTGATTCTCGGGTCAACCCTCCTCTTGAGCTGCAGTATCCAACCGCGATATTAGTTTTTGATTTATTTTTGTCATGTTTGTTATCTCTTAGAAGTCTGTTTTTGTTTGTTTACTATTTTGTGTTGCCCCCCTCCCCCCACACACACCGTCCCCCTGACAGGGTTCTCTGGCTGTCCTAGAACTCCTTCTGTTGACCCTGCTGACCTCGCAGAGATCCACCAGCCTCTGCCTTCGGAGTCCTGGGATTAAAGGTCACCACCGCCCAGCTGAAGCCTGTTCTTTTCTAACGAGAGCCAGAAAGGGAGTGGTTTCTGAGGGGCGAGGAGATGGAGAGGAACTGGGAGGTGTAGAGATAGGGGAAGCTATAATCAGAATATATTGTGTGAGAAAATAATATATTTTCTCCCTCCCCCCCTCCCCCAGACAGGGTTTCACTGCATAGCCCTGACTGTCCTAGAACTTTTTTGAGAGCACTTCCCTTAGAGTGGAGGCCAGGGCAGAGGAGAGCCTAAAGCCACCCACTGTTCACAGCTACTAAGAGGCTGGGAAGATGAGAGGACATGGAGGGCTGTCACACCATCTGTCGCTGTGTCCCCAGGGCCCCTTTCAGTTCTTTGACCAGGCTGAGATTTTGCAGACACTGGCCGGGCTCTAAGAGGATTGGGCTCGGTGATGAGTTAGGCGAGGTCAAGGCCAAGGAAGTGTGCTACCTGGCCGTCCAGCTAGAGGCTAATGAGAAAGGAGAAATGGCCCAGTGAAGCAAAGTGCGAGGGTGCACACCTGTGCTCCCAGAACAACCGAGGCCGAGGCAGGAAGACTGCCTTGAATTCAGCTGTAGTCTGGACTGCGTAGCAGAACCCCATCCCACTCCCGCCAATTTTAGACCAATAGGGAACTAGGGATCAAAGAGGTCCCTGGTAGTGGAGGCAGTGGGGGAACAGCCTTAGCCAGATGGTGGGAGGACAAGCCCCAATTTATCACAATTAGTGCCCCCCCCCCCCCGTGCCCCCAGACAGGGTTTCTCTGCAGCTTTGATCTCTGTGATCCAAAGGTGTGTGCCGTCTGGGAGAACTGCAGAGTCGGGAGGCCAGCTCCTCGGTCAGGGTCTATTTGGCAGTCACCTTGCTTCTGAAGGTCTTGTTCCTTATTCCTTTGGTTGATGTTGGTGAAGCCAGTGGCATCAATGGGTTGTAATTTTCCCTGCTCGTTCATGCTCTCCAGTTCTTCGCTGTGCAGTGGGAATTCTTGGCTGAGGAAGTACACCTGGCCTTTGAGGACAGGTGCCCGTCAGTGTAGTGACAAACACCCAGAAACCTGTGTACACTGCCAATGAGGCCCAGGCCCGCTTGGGCTTTCGTGGCTGCCTGGTGAGGGATGCAGCCTTCACCCCTCAAGCTGGGGATGTCTACCTGTTTGTGGGCTATGCAGGGTGTGCTGAGAGGTAAGGACCCTCTCTCTCTTTTTTAATTTTTCTTATTTATTTTAAAACTATTTTTTTAGTGACGTGGTTTCCCCTTCCTCCTCTCCTCCCAGGACTTCCCCTCCCCCACCTCCACTCTTCCCCAGATCCACTCCTCCTTTCCCTTCAGAAAAGGGTAGGACTCCCAGGGACATCAACCAAACATGGCAGAACAAGTTATAATAAAATCAGGCACATCAATTAAGTCTGGATTAGACAACCTGAAGGAGGAAAAGGGAAGAAGGACCTTCTCTTAATCAGGCCTGGTGGTGCACAGCTTTAATCCCAGCACTCAGGAGACAGAGGCAGAAGGATCTGAGTGAGTTTCAGGATAGCCAGGGCTACACAGAGGAACCCTGTGTAGAAGAAAAAAACAAAACAAAAAAGAAAAAGAAAAGGAATTCAGGATTACCTAGCTCTATGAGAACCTTTCTCTTAAAGAAAAAGAAAGAAATGGGGTTAGGGGCCGGAAAGACGGCTCCACATCTCAGATCAGCTCAGCAGTTGAGTGTACTAGTACTTTTGCAGAGGACTCAAATTCAGTTCCCAGAATTAGGCGGCAACTCACAGCAGCCTGTGTAGAACTCAGATCACCCAAAGGAAGCTCTTCACTTCCAACCATTTTCACCTGCCAGCATCTCAGTAGTTTACCCTGAAACAGCACCTGGTTGCCCGAAGAACCAAACTGAGATTATCCAGGCACTACCCAAGAACAGACCATCCAAAGGAAATGCCTAACATTCCAACCATTGTAGATAGGATCACCTTACAGCACACACACCAGGATGCCCCTAGACAAATGTCAGCCAATCAGGGGTCCTGAACCTTAGAAATCCCTCACCCCCACTGTTACTACTAAAAAAACCCAACTCTGATTTCGGGGCTCTCTGATTATTCCAATATGTTGGACACACGGAGAGACCGAGTTGACAAACTTGTATTATAAAATAAAGGCTCTTTGCTTTTACATGAGTAACTTCAGCTCCAGGGGCTGCAGCAGTGTTTTCGGAAGATATCTGTGCATACACACACACACACAAATTCTTGAGACCTACCACACACTCAAATAGGTGTATTTTCTGTGTTCTGAGACAGCTCAGTCTACAGAGACCTGCTCCCCTACCTCTCAAAAGCAAAATCCCCAAGTTTCCTACACCTCAGGTTTCTCCCTTTGTCCTCCTTGAAAATTGAATGTTTTTCTCTCTGGTCCCTACTAAGCGGCCCTTAGTAAGCAGCCCGGTCACACTGTATCTGTGCCCAACCCACACAGCCTGTCACATGTTCCTCCAAATCACCGCTAATGCGCCATGTGGCTTAAGAGGATTGAGTGTTTGCTAAAACAGACCACGGGTAGGGTAAAAAAACCAACCCACTGTGGAGATTCTGGGGCTAGGATAGCCATTCAGGAAGGCAAAGGAATGTCGACAGAGAGGGACCCAGGGCCCTGACGGAGAAACCAGGAACTCAGACTAGACAGAAGGTTGAGACAACGGGGAGGAGAAAACCCCATTGTTATTCTCTGATCTCCAAGTGCAGGCTTGTGTTCCGCCCAAACCCATACAGAGCGACCACAGGGCCTAGTTTATCACTTTTGCCACTACCTGGAAAGACTTTTACTTTGAATGTTTTCCTCTCATGTATGTACGTGCACCAGGAGAAGGCATCTGTTCAGATGAGGATGGTTGTGGGTGATGGGATGAAACTCTCTAGACCAGGTTGGCCTCGAACGCTGCAGAGAACAGTCTCTGCCTCCCTAAGTGCTGGGAATAAAGGGGTACACCACCATGCCCAGCTGTTTTGTAGTATTTTTTTTTGTTTGTTTGTTTTGAGACAGGGTTTCTCTGTAGCTTTGGAGCCTGTCCTGGAACTAGCTCTTGTAGACCAGGCTGGTCTCGAACTCACAGAGATCTGCCTGCCTCTGCCTCCTGGCAGAGTTGGGATTAAAGCTGGGATTAAAGGCATGCTCCACCACCGCCCCACTGTTTTGTAGTATTTTTAATCCCACACCCAGGCTTTGGATCTAGTCTGAGAGCCACCCAGGTAAACAAATGCACAAGGTAGGAAAACAGAAAGCAAAACACCAGCTCAAGACACCCACTCACAATCTACAATCCATTCCAGGCTATTAAAATACCCAGACTAGGCTAAGGAATAAGATGCCATTGAGATAAGTCATTGTCATTTTACTTTCTATGAATAGCTTTATTATCAACCTAACACAGACATGAAAGTCCAACAGCCCCAGCAACAAGCCAGCTGAATAACATCTAACAATAAGCCAATGCTAGGACAAGCTGGTGCATGAAATGTCCTCAAATAAAAACAAAAATTGAAACTGAATGTTACACAAAAAAAAAAATCCCATAGGAATAGAAAAAAAAACCCAAACAACTAAGTAACAACACGCATGGTGCAGCCTGGCACTTGGGTGATAAAAGCTACAAGTCCCAGGCCAGAAACAAAACATCCACAGTGTAAAATAAGAACCCCCCAAATGGCTGTCACCCCTAGATACCAGAGTGAGCGGTAAGGCAAAGCAGGACATTCTCAGAAATCATCTGTGTTTGGGTACCCAGAAGACAGTCTGAGCTTCTTCAAGGCTTCCAAAGTTTCGGGGAGCCCGGGGCTGTTTTGGGAAGACTCCTTGTCTTGACAGGATGCATGGCTGATGTGAGGCTTCACTGTGCTCTCCCGTGACTTGTACAAACCTTGCCTTAAATGCCTTCTGCGGGTGTGGTACTGCATGAGCTCCAGGTATCTCGGAAAATTCTGTCTAAATCGCTCCCGGGAATTGATGGGCCTGCTTGGTGACCGGCAGCCCCCAACTTTGCTGGAAGCACAGGAATAAGGGTTATAGCGATAGCGGCGGACAGGCTTCCATAGTAGCCAAGCAGAGAGAATGCACGTCTCAGGCTTCAGGGAACGCAGGGTGAACCAAGTCTGTAGGGAGGAAGGGTATACAAAAACAAACAAAAAAAACAAAGGGTCACCTTGTGCTACCAGTCCCTCAGATTTGTGCTGCAGGGGAAGGAAGGCTGCTTATCCAGGACCTTGAGGGAGGCCACCAGAGGAATACTGCTGGGCCTTGAGGGCAGAACCTACCGACTAGGGATCCAGACTAGGGATCCAGTCTACCGAGTACCCTGGGTGGTTCTCGAGCTTCCTAATGCTTCAGAAGTTTACTATGTTGTGGTGATCTACAACCATGAAATTGTTATGATAGCTCATCACTGTGATTTTGCTACTGTTAAGAACTAAAATGTATGGGCTGGAGAGATGGCTCAGAGGTCCTGAGTTCAATTCCCAACAACCACATGGTGGCTCACAACCAACTAGCTGCAGCATACATAAAAAAAAAAAAGAATGGAACTGTAATCTATGAAAGCATCCTTCAACCCTAAAAAGGTAGTGACCCACAAGTCCCGATCCAGCCTACTCAGTGTGTGGGCTCTGGGGTGGTTCTCAACCTTCCTAACACTTCAGCAATTTAATTTATGTGGTGGTAATCCATAGCCATAAAACTTTTATGCTTGCTCATAACTGTTAAGAATCAAAATGTAAGCTGGGCGGTGTTGGCATGCGCCTTTAATCCCAACACTCGGAGACAGAGGCAGGAGGATCTCTGTGAGTTTGAGGCCAGCCTGGTCTACACGTGCTAGTTGCAGGACAGGCTCCAAAGCTACAGAGAAACCCTGTCTCGACAAACAACAAACAAACAAGCACAAACATGGCTCTAAAGCTACAGAGAAACCCTGTCTCAAAAAAACCAAAACCAAACCAAACCAACAACCCTGGCCCCAAATGAAATGTAAACATCTGATATGCAAGCTGTGTGAAAGGGTCCTTCGACCCCATAGAGGTTGCAACCCACAGGCTGAGAACCACTAGCCTAAAGGTGCTGAAAGTTGGTGGGGAATCTGACCTTAACTCGTTCCTCAGTCAGGTTTAGTCTCATGGCCAGGGCCCTTCGAGCTTCGAGGTCTGGGTGTGGCTCCATCCTGAAGTGTTTTTCCAGTTCAGACAGCTGTTCCCAACTGTACTCCAGGTCAAGGGTACCCAGAGTACAGTCTGAGAGAAAATGGAGAAATCTGATCAGAAAGAGCCCATCATGGCAGGCGGAGAGTGACGGCTCAGCCCTTGTTGCCAACCTGATAACTTGGCAGTTTTGATCCTGAGGGACCTCATGGTGGACTCACTCAGGAAAGTTATCCTCAGACCCCTTACACATCCCCAGGCACAACCACATATAAAATTAGTAACTGGAAACAGAAATGACCTTTTCACAGTCCCTGGCTCTGATTTTCTTCTTGGGGAGCCATTGCACCAATGAGAGGTGGACCTACGGATCTCACTGCAATCCCCCACTTTCCAGATCCACTAGTTCAACTTTCTGGGCATCGGGATCTGAATCTTTGAAAAGGGTAGGTGGAGAGTCCTGAAGTGGTCTTGCTTTCTATTAAGGGTTTCTTCCAATACTGAGAGTCAACCAAGGTCCAAGGGAGAGCTGCTGATGTGTCCTCGCTGGGTGACCAGTTTTTTTCCTTTTGTTACTTTGAGATTATCTCATGTTGCCCAGAGTAGCTTGGAACTTTCCAAGCACAGGGATTATAGGTTTTTAGCACAAGACTGACTCTCTTTGGTGTTCTAATAATATAATACCACTGGCCACTCTCTCCTGCTCTCCCACCCCCACCCCCATTAAAGGGGCGTGCCACCATGCTCTCGGCTTCAACCCTTATTTTTTATTTATTTTATTTTTTTGGGGGACAGGGTTTCTGTATGGAGCCCGAACTGTCCTGGAACTCACTCTAGAAATGCCTTTGCTCCTGTGATAAAAGGCATGTGCCACATCCACTCGGGCTCAGCCTCTATTTTTAATTTTGAGACACAGTTGTTTCTCTGTAGCTTTTGGAGCCTGCCCAGAACTAGCTCTTGTAGACCAGGCTAGTCTCGAACTCACAGAGCTCCACCTGCCTCTGCCTCCCGAGTGCTGGGATTAAAGGCGTGTGCCACCACCACCCGGCAACCTTTACTTTTTAAAACTGCCAGGTGAGCCCAGTGATGCTGACGCACGCCTTTAATCTCGGCATCTGAGAGGTAGAGGCAGGCTGATCCCTGTGCGTTCCTGGCCAGACTGGTCGACAAGAGATGGTTCTAGGACATCCAGGGCTGCTACATAGGAAAGCCCTGTCGTGAGAAACAAAAGATCGCGAGAAACCAGACTGGCTAGCACAAGACCTTGATCCCAAAGAGTGGGGGAGGGTCTGAGTCCCAAGTCCTCCCTTCTGAGTAAGGCTCCCATAACTCTCCGTGGAACCTAGCCATGCTGCAGGGGCCGGAGAAATGTCCCACCCGACTCTCCCTCCACTTTTCAGCCCCAGGCAACCGTCGTGCCTATCTGGATTTCTGCAGCGAGCACATGGAAATGGGCCGACCGATATTTCAAAATTACAGAACTTGTCTGGAAGTGGTGGCCAGAGCCGGCAATCTCAGTGCTCAGGTGTTGGAAGACCAGGAGTTATGGGCGTTCAAGATCTCCTTCCGATTACCATCTCAAAGAACACTCACCTGTTCACTGCCACCCACCCCCCAACAAAACAAACAAACAAAACCCTGAAAACCAAAAAACAAGATGCAGGCACTGGGAAGAAACTCACTACACAGGTACCAGGTTGCTGGCCAGGCTCGGTACCTTTCAGAGCTCAAAGCGTTAAGTACCTGTTTCAGCTCCCCACACGCCATTTCACTCCTCATTCCAATTCTACGGGCAGGACCCATTTTGAAAGAGGCCGTCTGGGCCTCTTCTGGGAGCCCAGAACACATATTTGAAACTTGAAGCCCAGAAGAATCACCTACCTAACTGCTTGACATACAAACATCCTTCTGAGGGAGCAGATTCACGCGGCGCAGGCCCTTCCGCCATCAGTTACTTCCTTATTGGCCGCAGTTCACTTGACTTCAGCTTCACAGGTGGAGAATCTACGCTAGGAGTTTGGCTTTAATACACCTCTGCTTCGGGCCCACCCAGTTGGAGACCGCCCACCTCCTGTCGTCTGCTCCACCCACTCACCTGATTGTCTGCTTTATCCCTCTTCACCCTTCAGGGCATTGCCTTGCAGGGTTTTGTGCTCCTTCCGCTCCTTCCGGAACAACTAGTACTGCTGCTTCACCAAAGGAATTGGGAACAACACGCAGCCTTAGCCCCTTCCTCCCAGGCCTCCAAAGCCTGGGGAAAGCCCTAGTTTCACCCGGGATCATAAGCCTCCAGCCAGCCTGTTCCTTTAGGTGTCCATCATCATTTCTTCCTAAAGCTGAGTGCCTCTCCTTCAAGACTGTCTTGGCCGGTTTCTCCACGCATCCCCTGGGATATCTGGACTGGAGAGGTCAGGCGGCTGCCCTGCTTGATAAATTCTCTTCAAGATTTGTCCCTGGACTAAAGATTGATGGGGGTCATAGGGACATCTGCTCCTGTCTTCTGGTGTTGGGTAAAACCACCTCCTTTGCCGGGCAGTGGTGGCACACGCCTTTAATTCCAGCACTCAGGGAGGCAGAGGCAGGCGGATCTCTGTGAGTTTGAGGCCAGCCCGGTTTACAGAGAGAGTTCCAGGATTACCAGAGCTACACAGTGAAACCTTGTCTCAAACAAACAAACAACTCCCCCTCCCCCCCAGAAAAACAACAACAACAAAATTAACCCACCTCCTCTTCCTTTATTTACTTATAGCTCTGGCTGCCCTGGAACTCACTATGTATACTAGGTTGGCTTCCAACTCCCAGAGATCTACCTGCCTCTACCTCTGAAGTATTGAGATTCAAGGTGTGCCTTTATTTATTCTGAGACAGGGTCTTTCTACAGAGCCCCAACTGTTCAAAGAGATCTGCACAGTCTCTAACTCAAAGGCTGTCCCAGCTTCTCGGAAAGCTGAAGGTGGCTGAGTCTGACCTTGAACAGCTGGTCTTTCACGAACTGGGAAAACAGGCCTGCCTAATTTCTACGGAGCCCAGCTGCTGGGAAGTGTGTTGCAGGCTGGGAGTGGTGGAATACTGTCATGTCAGTCACCCACGGAGCAGAGGCGGGAGATCTTTGGGAGTCAAGGTTAGCCTGGTCTCCACTGCCAGGTCTGTTCCACGCAGAGAATCCCTGCCTGCAGTACCCTGTTTTGCTCACATAAATATATTTGGTAAATACTGTCTAGATTCAACCTTCTGTCCTGTGACTAAACAAGCTCTCAGGCTTCCCTAGTCTTTACTTCACTTGAGAGAAATCAAAAACCTGTTTCGCTATCACTCATATTTAGCACAGAATAACAATTTTGACTTTATGTATATGGATGTTTTGTCTGTATATCTGTGTACTGAAGAGTCCAAGAATATAAAAATATAGATTCCAAAAATAGAAATGTAGAAATAAAGAAATATAAAGTTGTAAGTCTAGGAGAATGAGAACAGACTGTCAGCAGCTTCCTCAGCAGCTTGAGGATTAACTATTAACTGTGGGCTATTTCGCTGTACAACCCATAGCTCTGTTTACAACACTGGAACTTCTCTCTGCAAACCGAGAGTAGTGTCCTGGCCATCCTTGACAAACGACAGAGACGGGCTGAGTTAACCTTTAGGAGACAGAGATGCGTGACCTCTGGTTTAGGCTCCTTCTCTGCTGCGGGAATCTGGTGCCCTCAAAGGGAAGGTGTGGGACTTCAGTAAACACTGCCTGAAAATAACAGGAGACAGCGAAGACACTGGTGTGACTAATGAACCATGCTAATGGAGGCTTAAAGTAAGGCGATCTGTAACTGAGATTTTCCTTGAGATAGTGTTTTTCTGTTTGTCAACCTTCTGACGTTGCTAGCAGTCCCTTTTTCTGACTAATTGCTAAAAACATCTGTTTCCTAGCAATTAGTGACTTTCGCTGTAATCTCCTCTGGAACATATTTCACAATAGCTGCCTAGTTACCCATTGAACTCACTCCCCCCTCTTAGGGTCTCTGTTGACTAACCCGCAGGGCAAGATTGTAAAAATTCTTTTGTTCAGACCTAATGCTTGGTGCCCCTATTATAAAAA